GACCCGGGCCCCTGCCACCTGCGGGATCCTCGGGTTTATCATCTCTGCCACCACCACCTGCGGCCCCTGCGTCAGGGCCGCCTCTGAGCGCCACGCAGATCAAACAGGAGCCAGCGGAGGAGTATGAGACCCCCGAGAGTCCGGTGCCCCCGCCCCGCAGCCCCTCGCCCCCTCCCAAGGTGGTAGACGTGCCCAGCCACGCCAGTCAGTCTGCCAGGTGAGTGGGCAGGGTACGGTACAGGTGGGCCTGGAAGTGGGGTCGACAAAGTGGCGACAGAGTAGGACGGGTGGGGCCTTGGTTCGTGTGGTGTCTAAAAAAAAGTACACTCTCCTCCTCCCTCGCTACGCCCTCATGGCCCTTGAGGAGGGCAGCAGCTTCCAGCCTGCGGGGCTGGTTTACAGGCTGGGGTCTGGCCGCCGCGGGCAGCTCGCAGGGATTGAGCGAGCGCCGCGTCCGCGCCCGGCAGGTTCAACAAACACCTGGACCGCGGCTTCAACTCGTGCGCGCGCAGCGACTTGTACTTCGTGCCACTGGAGGGCTCCAAGCTGGCCAAGAAGCGGGCCGACCTGGTGGAGAAGGTGCGGCGCGAGGCCGAGCAGCGCGCGCGCGAAGAAAAGGAGCGCGAGCGCGAGCGGGAACGCGAGAAGGAGCGGGAGCGCGAGAAGGAGCGCGAGCTCGAACGCAGCGTGGTGAGTGCGACACGACCTGCGCCACCCACCGCCTTTCCCTCCCTCCTTTGCGCTGCGCAGCGCGGCTCGGGGGTGGGGGTGGAGGGGCCACTTCGCCACCTGCCGGAGAGGAGGAGCCACTGCAGCCCAGCAAGTGGCACCCGAAAGGATTCCAGCGGGAGAAGTCTTTGCGTTCCTAGGTTGGCAGAAGAAGGCATGCTCAGGAAGGGCAAATATCCGGGAGGTGGTGGTGGTGGGGTGGTGTGTGTGCAGGAAAAGTTCTTGGTGGGCAGACTTCCAACGGGGTGAGGCATTTTGGCATTTAGCTCCTGAAACAAATGGGCAGCTTTGGACCAACCACCTCTTTCCGTAACAGTCCCTTTGATTCCACTTCTCCCTGTACCCTACAGAAATTGGCTCAGGAGGGCCGTGCTCCAGTGGAGTGCCCATCTCTGGGCCCAGTGCCCCATCGCCCTCCATTTGAACCGGGCAGTGCTGTGGCTACAGTGCCCCCCTACCTGGGTCCTGACACTCCAGCCCTGCGCACTCTCAGTGAATACGCCCGGCCTCATGTGATGTCTCCTGGCAATCGCAACCATCCATTCTACGTGCCCCTAGGGGCAGTGGACCCAGGGCTCCTGGGTTACAACGTCCCAGCCCTGTACAGCAGTGACCCAGCTGCCAGGGAGAGGGAGCGGGAAGCCCGTGAACGAGACCTCCGTGACCGCCTCAAGCCTGGCTTCGAGGTGAAGCCTAGTGAGCTGGAACCTCTACATGGGGTCCCTGGGCCAGGCCTGGATCCTTTCCCCCGACATGGGGGCCTGGCCCTGCAGCCTGGCCCTCCTGGCCTGCACCCTTTCCCCTTCCATCCAAGCCTGGGGCCCTTGGAGCGAGAACGTCTAGCGCTGGCAGCTGGGCCAGCCCTGCGGCCTGACATGTCGTATGCTGAGCGGCTGGCAGCTGAGAGGCAGCATGCAGAAAGGGTGGCAGCCCTTGGCAATGACCCGCTGGCCCGGCTGCAGATGCTCAATGTGACCCCCCATCACCACCAGCACTCCCATATCCACTCTCACCTGCATCTGCACCAGCAGGATGCCATCCATGCAGGTGAGACCCCTACTTCCTTGCTCTGGCCCTTGGGGGCCACCTCACCCCCTGGCATGATTGGGTTTTTTTTTTCCTCAGGCCAAGGCTTCCCTCCTCTGGTCTGGCATGAACCTCTTTCCTGAGATTACTGTCCTGATCTGTGCCTCCCTGACATTTCCCAGCCGATCTCCTCATGCTCTAGCCTAGCTGCAGAGCCTGCATGCATTCCCGACACCCAGCCCTCTCCATAGTCTAGTATCCTATCTGTGATAGAGGCCCAAGCCGGGCCTGTCAAGGAGAACCACCTTTCTACCCAAATAGCCCCAGTCCCCAAGCCCTTCGCAGACCTATTTTCTGGTTCCTCTGGATTCAACTCTTGTTTCTTGCCATCCTCTCTTTCCCTCCCAGCTTGAGGTGTTTCACGACCTCGATCTGCCCCATCTCTAGATCTGTAACCTAAAAAGGGCCTAGTAGCTTCAGTTTTGGGTGTCACAGGTGATAACGAGCTTTACTTACTATCCTTCCACCATATTATTGTCCAGCCTAGTCTTAGTCATGCTCATCCCAGGCTCCGTGCTTTCTGTCTCTTAATCACCTCTTTCATCCTGTCTCATTTTCTATACTTCTTTGTCCTCTTCCATCTCCTTGAAGCAATTTACCTCTCTCTTTCCTTCTCAGATCCTTCTGGTAACTGTAAGTAATGTCCTGTCCTCTGTCATCCATGTCCCTACTCCAGTAGTATCTTGGCCTGTCTGTTCCCAGGCCTCTAGTTCTTCCGTTCCACCTTTTTTCCACTTTGGATCTGTGTTTGACTGTCCATCTCTCTTCCCAGGCTTGGATGCCTTCACCCAATTGCATGGTTTTCCCTAAACCTACCTTCTGGTGACACCTTCCTTTTCTCTGCCCTCCAGCCTCTGCCTCAGTGCACCCTCTCATTGACCCCCTGGCCTCAGGGTCTCACCTCACCCGGATCCCCTACCCAGCTGGGACCCTCCCTAACCCTCTTCTTCCTCACCCTCTGCACGAGAACGAAGTTCTTCGTCACCAGCTCTTTGGTAAGGATGGAGTTTGGGGTAGGGGAGCTCTAATGAGAGAAGGGCAAAAAAAGAATGTGGTTGGTGAGATGGGCCTAGGTGGGCTTGGGGAGGGAAGAGGTGGTGCCTAGAAGAGCTGGGAAGGGGCATAGGAGAACTAAGGCTCCGCCCAAGGGAGGCAAGAGGTTTGAATCCTAATTCCACTCCATTACTGGCAACTTGCAGGACTGGCTGTGTTACCTAACTTTTCAGTCTCAGTTTCCTCTTTTTATAAAGTGGCTGACTATGCCCTGGCCCAGAGCGGGTACTCAGTATCTCTTAGTCATGTGCCCCCTGCCTTTCTTGCTCACAGCTGCCCCTTACCGGGACCTGCCAGCCTCCCTCTCTGCCCCAATGTCAGCAGCTCATCAGCTGCAGGCCATGCACGCGCAGTCTGCTGAGCTGCAGCGCTTGGCGCTGGAACAGCAGCAGTGGCTGCATGCCCATCACCCGCTGCACAGCGTGCCGCTGCCTGCCCAGGAGGACTACTACAGGTACTACAGGGTGCCCCAGTGGACCATATCCAGTGATCCTGGGATGGGCTGTGGATATGGTACAGCAGGGTACTACACCCCTCTGGGAGGGAGCCCCTCTTCCCCCATCCCTGTCTGTGAGAGGGGCAAGGTCAGGGTTGGTCTCAGTCTCTTATCTTTCTGCTGTGCATTTCTCTAGTCACCTGAAGAAGGAAAGCGACAAGCCACTGTAGAACCTGCCATCAAGAGGGCACCCATGGCTCCTGCATCTGGACCTTGGAGGCTCCCCCTCCCAGCCTGCCACCCAGAGCCCAGGAGAGGGTGCTGCTCAGTTGCAGGGCCTCTGTAACTGGGCAGAGGGAGGGAGGAAGGGCCAGACAGAAAGCCAAGGCCCATGTGGTGTGCAGCAGTAGGGAGGTGGCAAGGGTGGGGACAGACAGCGCACAGTATCTTGGACCACGTCCCTCTTCCTTGTCCCCCCCAGCTTTCCTCCTCCCCTGTGCCCAACCCTTGGTGGCCACCTCCCCTGCCCCACCCCGTTGGTGTGATTATTTCATCTGTTAGATGTGGCTGTTTTGTGTAGCATCTTGTGCTGCCCCTGCCCCTCCCCAGTCCCTGTGTGCGCGCCCCCTCTGCGATGTATGCCCCTTGCCCCTATCCCACATTAATAATTTATATATATAAATATCTATATGACGCTCTTTAAAAAACATCCCAACCAAAACCAACGAAACAAAAACATCCTCAGCTCCCCAGGAAGATGACTATGACTGGTTCTTTGCGGGCTGGGCAAGGGGAAGTGTCTCAGGGCAGTGGTTCCTAGAGAGAGCTGTGCCACCGGAGACTGGCGGGGAAGCTGAAAGGGACAGGACCTTAAGGAATAATGTAGGGGCCCTGAAGAGCTGGCAAGGGGATCTCGGGAAGAGCCCAGAGCTCTGCTGGAGAAGGTATAGGTGCCAGTTTCTCCCCGGCACCCTCTCCAGAAGTTAAGATACCGGAGGTCTGGGACTGGCCCACCTCTGACATGGCCAGGTCCAGGGAACTACTCAGACCTTGGAGGCGTTCCTATCACTGGTCCCACTGCTAGGAGCCACCGGAGTCCTCTGGAACAATGGCTTCAGAGTCCTGAATCCTTTGAGTAGAATAGTTTGAGAACCGGTCATCAAGCGGGAGTGGGGTGGGTGAACGGTTTCAATACGTCGTTGCAATTACTAATTGGCAGGTAAAGCCGATGAGTACAGTTTGAGAAGGGAGTGGGTGACAATTTCAAACGCCTAGAAGGGAAAGGAAGGAAAATAGGGCATTACGCTCCATCGCCTACCGCGGGACAAGGCCATTTTGGGAAAAACGAGAAAGCAGCGCCTGCTCTGAGCATTTATTGAGGCGAATCCCTGCCTTCGTTCTTAACAACAAAAGGGCTGTGACTGGCTGCTTTCTAGGCCAATCAGCATCGAGCTCATTTGCATAGACCGGTATCAGGCTTTCACAAACTAGAAATGAATGACTTAAGTAAGTTCCTTAGGATACTGTTTTTCCTAGTGAAAGTTACGGTGTGCCTTGTCGCTTATACACCGGTAGGAACGAGAAAAACGCCACTCTGAGCTCACCCTCACCAACAGTGGAGTTCACGCATATGCCAGGATCTCTCCAGACGCACTTCCTGTAGTGTTACAGCTCTTTTAGAATTTGTCTAGCAGGTTTTCCGGTCCTTACCGGAAAACCCTTTCCACGCCAGTTGTTCGTAACAATAGAGTATCTTGTTTGGGGTTGAAGTCGTTCTGTGTGTTAAATTTGGTTTCGTGTCAGCCGTGCGGTTGCAGAATCGCACGGAGCTCTCAATTTGGAGTTCTGAGCTACGTTCCGGAGCTTCCGGCTACGACTGATGTTGCTTCCCCTCCACCCCTATCGGCGTTGGGAAGTGCTTCTAGGTGGTGCTTGTTTTCCCCGACCCTTTTTTCCTCTTTGCCGTGCTGCACGTGCGGCTTCTGTCTCCATATGACGTCCGCCTCGGCCCAGCCAGCAACCCTGAGTGCTGAACAGGCCAAGGGTGAGAATCATCCTGCCGGGGAGGATACGGGTGGAAGACACAGCGACACACGTAGCTACATCCTTTGGGAAACGGGGTGGGGGACGCGAGGTACCATCCCTTTTGTACGTGGGGTCCTTGTCCTCCTAGAGCGAGGGACTCGGGGGTGGGGGTGAGTTTATTGGGTTACTTAGGGCCCCAGTCCGCTAATTCCCCGCCCTCTTCCCTGCACTCTCTGATGCACCCACCGCGCGTGTTCCAACGCCTACCTTGGGACGCCTCCCTGGGATGCTTCTGGCGCGCAGTGGTCCTGGCGGAGGTGATCCAGGCGTTCTCGGCCCCTGAGAACGCCGTGCGCATGGACGAGGCTCGGGACAACGCGTGCAACGACATGGGCAAGATGCTGCAGTTCGTTCTGCCCGTGGCCACGCAGATCCAGCAGGAGGTTATCAAAGCCTATGGCTTCAGCTGCGACGGGGAAGGTGGGTCTCACGCGGGATGGCGGTGGAGTGGGTCACGGAGAGAGCAATGGATCGGTGGGCCCCTAAGCGGTCTGCTTTCTCACCACACGGCGGCAGCCACAATCTGACTAACAGTGTTGGCACTCAGAGCCCAGGGTCTACCCTGTGCCTGGAAGTCCTCAGTGCGTTTTGTCGTGTCTGTACAGGTTCCATATCCCTTGTCCGAAATGCTTGGGGCCGGAAATGTTTCAGATTTCGGACTTTTTCGGATTTTGCAATATTTACATATACATAATGAGATATCTTCGGGATGAGGCCTAAGTCTAAACATGAAATTGATTTATATTTCATATACACTTTACACACATTCTGAAGGTAATTTTATACAATAGTCTTAATAATTTTGTGCATGAAACAAAGTTTTGACTGTGGCCTGTCCCATGGGGTCAGATGTGGAATTTTTCATATGTGGTGTCATGGAGTGCTCAAATAATTTCAGATTTTGGAGCATTTCGGATTTTCCGATCAGGGCTGCTCACCCTGTAGTATTAATATTAATCACACTATTATTCCATTTTGTGATGCAGGAACAGACTCTAATAGTAAAGTAAGTGCCCAGGGTTATAGCAGAGCTGGACTGGAACTCTGTTCTGCTAGCTTTCGGTGAGATAACTGCATGACAGCATACTCCTGCAGCCCCTCCAGTGTGTTTCAGCCCATGTCTGAGGGTTGGCAGTTAAATTTCCTTGGTGTGATCATGGTGTTCCCCAGGGGTGTGTATCGACTTAGCCCTGCTGTCCCATAGCTCTCCTGTGTCCTGGTTATAGACCTAGGTTCATACTTGGGGTTCCTGTGCCAAACTAAAATGGTTCACCTGAGAGTGAGAAGCGCACTGCTTTGGGACTTTTTCATTCAGTGCATCCCAACCAGTTGTGCCCAGTGTAGACCAGGAAGTGATCCAAACCACACAGGACAGAGGCCTGCATGTGTCCTGGCCAGAGGGGGAGCAGCTAGTAACTCATGCTCAAAACACCACCCCCTCCTGTCTTTGGCACAGCGGTCAACTCTCCATTCCCTCTTGCAGGTGTCCTTAAATTTGCCCGCTTGGTCAAGTCCTACGAAGCCCAGGATCCTGAGATCGCCAGCCTGTCAGGGAAGCTGAAGGCACTGTTCCTGCCCCCCATGACACTGCCACCCCATGGGCCTGCTTCTGGTGGCAGCGTGGCTGCCTCCTGAGAGTTGGCCTTCGCCTGTTCTATTGCCAGGGAAGGGAAGACCTTGGCGTTCCAGAAGATAATAAATGTGCCTGTGGCTTAGCCTTGGTGTCATCTTTTGTGGTCCTGACAACCCCTGCCTCTCGTTCCCAGATTCCCTCTGCCCTGGCCAGATTCTTCCCTAAACTCCCGGCTGAGCCCAGCCCTGCTCCGGTGAGGGCCTAAGGCTTCTGCCCTGCCCTCAGGGCAGGCTGAGAGGCTGGACTGGCCCCTCAACACTCTGGGTGGGTGGGCCTGCCCAGGTGGACCTCCTTCTCTGAGGGATTGGGATCCCGGGGCTTTTCCTTAGGCCCCTTGGTTTCCGCTGACTGAGAGGTCCCCCATTGGTTGATGTTCCCTTGGCCAGGGTTACTTCCTGGTCTTTGCCCCTACCTGCCCTCCTGCTGCTCTGTCAGCTTGGGCTCCAGGTGGAGCTCCAGGTGGCTCCTCCCCTCTTAGGGATGGCGGCTCTGGACTGGCAGGCAGGCCTGCCGGACTACTGATTGGGGCTGCAGGGGGAAGCTGGCTGCTGTGGGCGGTCTCAGGCCAGCCCCGCCCCACCTGTCCTTCCCTGAAGACCATTAGTCTAGAGGCTTGTCCCTGCAGTGCCATTGGCCTGGCGGGCTGGATTGAGGAGGAAGTGGCTGAGTTCTGAGTGTTTTTTCCTCACCTGGCCTGGGCCACTGTGCACAGCTGTGCCACTGGCTTGACCCCGCCCACTGTGGCCTTCTGCCTGTGACTACCCCATCCCTCCAGGGAGATGCTGTCCCGTGGGTAAGTCACTGCACCAGCTGGGTCCCACAGTCTCCTGTTTGGGAGGGAGGGGCATGGCCATGACTGCAATCTGCTGCTGTCCCCTGCCCTGGGTCTGCTTCCTGTCCCTATGTACTTTCTCCTTCCCCCAAGATGTGAGGACCCCCAGGCTCATTCATGCCCCTCTGCCCCTTCTTTCTGGAACACTTTTCCCCTGACAAGTGTGTATCTGTTCTCACCATTGCATTTCTACCTCCAGCCTCTGGTCCCCTACTTCTGCCTCCTTCTTAGGGCCTGTACCTGTGTGTAGCTTGTATCACCTCAAACATAACAGTCTGTAAGGCAAACCTGAGAAAGTGCTCCCATTCCCAGCCAACTTCCCCGTACTTCCCAGCACCTACCTTGGTTCCATTTTCTTTTAGTTTCCCTTCACAGTGTTGAGCATCTGTTCCAGGCCAGGTCCTGTTAAAGATGCTGGTGATACAGGAATGAACAAGACAGACGTGGTCCCTGCTCCTACCGAGCTTACATTCCAGTGGGAGGCGACAGACTGAACACATAACCCTGATACGTAGGATCATTTTAGATTCTCAAAAGTGTCATGCAGAAAATGGAACCACTTCACATGCTAGCAAGGGACCAGGGATGTCAGGGCCATTACTAGCTGGAGAGGTCAGGGAGGGCTTCCTGAGGAGGTGACATTTGAGCTGAGACCTGGATGAGGAGGAGGGGCCAGCCCTGTGATGTGATCAAGAGTCAAGCACCCCTGGGCAGAGGAAATGGCGAGCACAAAGCCCTGATGTAGGAACAAACACAAAAAGGAGGGGCGCCTGCAGCAGGGGACACCAGAGCAGCAGAGGCAGGGCCGGGGCAGGTCAGACCTCGCTGCAGTTGGGACGCCGTAAGGGAATGACTGTCAGAGTGGGCCGGGCGCGGTGGCTCACGCCTGTAATCCTAGCAGTCTGGGAGGCCGAGTGAATTGCTTGAGCTCAGGAGTTCGAGACCAGCCTGAGCAAGAGAAAAACTCCGTCTCTACAAAATACAGAAAAATTAGCAGGTCGTGGCAGTGTGCTGAGGGGAGGCTGAGGTAGGAGGATCGCTTGAGCCTAGGAGTTTGAGGTTGCTGTGAGCTATGATGATGCCACTGTACTCTAGCTGGGGCAACAGAGCAAGACCCTATCTCAAAAAGAAAAAAAACGGGGAAAATAATTCCTACATCACAGGGCTGTCTGAGCTCAAGTGAAATTGTGTGCGTGCAAGTGCTGTGCAAACTCCAGCGCGCTGTGCCAACGTAAGGGGGGTGTTTTTTTATTTTCCTGCCAAAGGATAGAAGAGACTATACTAGTTAGTTTCTTCCCACCAAGTGGGTTTAAGCCCTAGAAGGAGAGTAGGGGCCAGGGTGCAGCAGGCGTTTGGTGGAGAGCGTGACCTGAAACTTTGTGTGTGGTCAGGATCGTGTGTCCACGTGTGGAGATTTGCACCTGTGCCAGGTATGCGTGTGGGTAGCCATGGGTGATGGGGTGCCTGTCGTGGGACTGTGTGTGCATAAGTGGTATACTTGTGTGTGCACACTCATCTGTATATGACAAGCAGGCTGTGTTTGTGACCGTGTGTGTGCATGCGTATTGATGAGTTTGCTTATTGGACACCTGGTGCCTAGTGTGGTGCGAGGCGCTGAACAAGAGCCTAGTGGATCTCTCTGTGGTGGAGACAACTTTGCATATGCACTTCCTGCCCCTGGGTATGGGAGGGAGTTCATGGGCGTTCCAGGTCTTTTAGGGCAGTGTCCAAACTGAAAGGGTAGTCAAACTTGGACCATGCAGTAAACAGACCAAGCAAATTCCCCAGGGCACCAATAAGAGGGGGACGCATCCCCCCAAAAAAGAGAGGAAAATCCTTTTTGGGGCTGGAAGTTGATGTTCAATGTTTCTTAAAATGATAAAGTAGTTGTTACGGGAAAATTAGACTTTTGTCGGGCTTTAGAACTTGGTTATTTATTTTTTTATATTTTTTATTGAGGTACAATATGCATAATGTGCGTAAATATTAAGCATGTAGCCTGATTGACTTCACATTTATACACATGCATGTGAATAGCACCCAGATCGAGACACAGAGCATTCCCAGTACCCAAGAAGTTTCCCAGAAATTTCCGTCTCCTAGTCAATATCTTTATTTTTATAAAGGTAATTCATGCCTATCGTACGACATTCAAAAAGGTGTATGGGAGAAGCAAGTGTCCCTCTTACCCCTGTCCTCCAGCCACTCAATTTTCCTCCCTAGGGGAAGCCACCAGTATGAGTTTCCGTGTGTCCTCTGTTGGCTTCTTTCCTGGTTTTGGTTTGGTGGTGCTGGTGTTTGTATTTGGAATTACAGACAGGGAGCATCATACGCTTTTTGTGTTTAGGCCCTCTAAAGGGGCAAGGACTCGGCCCCTGTCCTTCATCCATCCCCCAAGAGACAGACCCCCTGGTCAGAGCCCTGGGGCAGGGCAGAGGCCTAGAGACAGGAAGTAGAAAGGACCCGAATTTGAAAGGGCTATAAAGGGGTCATTTTGTTCATCCCTCTGCCACAGTGGCATCTCTTCAGATGTGTGTGTTGGTCAGGGGAAGGCACCCTTCCCTGTTGGGATCGTCTACAAGACTTAGGGAGTCTCCCCGTCCCACAGCAGCCCCTTTGGACAAGGAGTCTCCCAACCGCTGTTCTTTGACGCCTTGAGGGTTGATGTACAGTAGTTAAAATCATTGGCTTTGGATCCAGATGGTCTGGGTTTGAATCCTGGCACTGCCACTTACTAACTGCATGACCTCGGCAATTCCTTAAATTCCCTGGGCCTCAAGTTCCTTGTCTGCAAAATGGGGCTAAAGAGAAGAATAATAGGGCTGTGGTGAGGAATAAGTCAGACAAGGCTCGTAAAGGATGTCATAGCGCAGTGCCTGGCAGACGGTAAGACTCCACTGAATGGTAGCTGTCACCTGTTGTCATTGCTATTAGCATTGTATTAGCCAGGGAAGGCTGTGCAGAAGCAGCTGATGGAGGTGGAAGAGATGGCCTGGGACCATGTGTGTTCACGTGCATGAAGCATGATCCCGGCCCAGAGGGCGCAAGGCACACATGTGTCCTTATTTCATGTGTTGTCACATACGTGCAGGCCATGCTCCTGAACCTTTGATCGCAGACGTGTGGGAAGCGGGCCCCATCCCCACCCCCACTGCCACCCTACCACCCGGCTCTGCTTCTCTTCCCCTGCTCTGCTCTAAAACGAGAAGTACAAGTGAGTTCCCCCAAGGGGTCGGCCGCGCCCCTTCCTGTCCCCGCCCTGCCGGCTGCCCCAGGCCAGTGGAGTGGCAGCCCCAGAACCAGGACCGCCGGGGGTGGCAAGGTGGCCTGGCACCGAGAGCTGGGTCTGAGGCTTAGCCCCAGCGTTCTCGCTGCCCAGACTCGGCTGTGCCACCTCATTCTCTGCACCCCTTTCCTCTCTGGGAGCCCCAAGATGGTGAGGTAAGGGCCTGGGATCCCGGCAGCAGGAGGAAGGATCCCTGGGGCCAGAGGACCTCCCTCACCGCCCTGCCCGGGCCTTCCAGGTGGTTTCACCGAGACCTCAGTGGGCTGGATGCAGAGACTCTGCTGAAGGGCCGGGGCGTCCATGGGAGCTTCCTGGCTCGGCCCAGTCGCAAGAACCAGGGTGACTTCTCGCTCTCTGTCAGGTAGGTCCCTCCAGTGTTCTGGCAGCTCTGTCCTGTGGGTCCAGACCCTGGACCGCTCATTCCCCGTTCCCCATGGAAGGGCTGACTCCCCAGTCCCCAGCTTTGTCTGTGTCCTTGCCCCCTGCCCCAGTTTGTCCCCCCGCCCGGTGTCTGCCCCATCCTGTGCGTGCCCCACACTCGGGACCCTCAGTCTGTCACCACCCGACCTGCCTCTACTCCAGCAAGGCCTGGCCTCACCTCCTGGTATCCCACAGGGTGGGGGATCAGGTGACCCATATTCGGATCCAGAACTCTGGGGATTTCTACGACCTGTACGGAGGGGAGAAGTTCGCGACGCTGACTGAGCTGGTGGAGTACTACACACAGCAGCAGGGTGTCCTGCAGGACCGCGACGGCACCATCATCCACCTCAAGTACCCGCTGAACTGCTCCGACCCCACCAACGAGAGGTGAGGGGCTTCGCAGCCCAGCCCCCTCCCACAGAGGCGGGCTGGCTCCCATGGCACTGGCACCACGGTACTGCCCACGCCCAGTCCCTTCCCCATCCCCGCTCCCTGTCAGGCCTCTGTGTCTCTCCTCCATGTCACACTGCAGCCTGGGGTCTCAGAGGATAACCCACCACCCTCTCTGTCTCGCCCCTGAGGAAGCTGTGTCTTACTCTAGGGTCCCTGTCTGCTGGCAATCCTGGTCCTACTGGTGACAGGGAGGCCGCTGCTCCTGCTGGCATTTCATAGGTCAGCTCTGTTGTTAGAAAGCGCTTCCTTCTACGGAACCGAACCTGCCTTCCTGCAGTTCCCCCCTGCCCTCCCACGTGGGTTAACCCAGGAGGCATTGATGTTGAAGGGATCACAGGGACTGGAGCTCATTAGGACACCTGACACTTTATCTTCGCAGCCCAGTGAGGATGGGTTGGTCCTCTGGGGCTGGATAGAGCTTGGCTGGTTCCTTGGCTCAAGCACAGATAATTGAAAATGGGATGGAATGTGGTCACATGTGCAACCGGCCTAGGACTGTCCTGGACACTGAGTACTACGAGGCAGTTCCCTGCTCTCCCTTTGTTGCCAAGATGTGGTCCCGGAACTGGGCCAGCTACTCCCCATGTGGTCTCCCCAAAGCCTGGGTGGGGGGATCAAATGCTCCTGCCTGCACAGTGGCTCATTTCTGCAGCTACAGCCCAATGACAGGTCCTATTAAAGTCAAGGGCAGAGGAATAATCCTAAGGGTTTTTTTCACGTAGACTCCTGGGGCCAAGCCAACTGGCTCCTGTGCTGTATTTGTGGATCGATTGTCGAAATGGTTCTGAAACTTGGTTCTGTCCGCTTTCATCTTTCTGAGATTCAGGCCTCCAAGCTGGCACCCATGGTTTTGTTTGAGTCACTGATTAGAACTCAGAACTGGATAAGGCTGAGGTTGAAACCCTGTGGCCCACCGTGGAGACCTCCTTCCAGTCAACACGAAGCCATCCATCTGCTTCCGCTGAGGCCTTCCTCTTCGGGATGGATGGCTCTGCTCATGGTCGCCCTTCAGTACTGTCTAGATGTCTGCTCCCTCTGGCCCATCCCCTCCCCACCTGAAGCACCCACAGGGATTTTGCCACTGAGACCCCCTTTAACGCCTCATGTCCTCTCTGTCTCCTTGCCCCAAGCCAGGACCAGCCCTACTGGAGGAGGATGGGTTGAAAGAGGGGAGGAGGCCCCAAGTGGCTCCCTGGACTAAGAATCTGGGAGAAGCCAGCAGGGAAGGAGGGCAGCGCTGGGAGGGGGATAAAGACCAGGACAGCCACCCTCGAGGCCCTTTTGAGTGACCCACGCTGAGAAGCCCGTCTCACCCCTGACCCTGGGGTATGTGGGAAGCTCTGTCTCCAAATGCCTGTTATGTTCCTGCCTTTGGCCGCAGCCCCTCCTTTTCTGCAGGAATTTGCATTTGTCCCCTGGATGCCTTGCTGGCTTTCTTCTTGTGGCCAGCTTCACATTTGCATGGAGACTTCCTCATCCTGGGGCCTGAGGGAAGGGGCTCAGCCCCCTCCCCTGCCTGAGGGCCCTAGCGTGGTGGGTCGGAGCAGCCAAGGGGCTCATGGTGGGGAGGGGCTCTAGACAGGTCTCTCAGGTGGAGTCTCTTCTGGGCAGGGGCGAGATGGTCAGGACAGACTGGTCCCCTCCCTCCTTCCCCCATCCCTGCGGTTGGAAAATGCCCCCCTTCCCCTGGTCCCTGGGCTGAGGAAACCTCACAACCTCACTTCTCACTCTCTCCCCAGAAGGAGTTTTGTGTTTTTTCCATCACGTGGTTTCCTGTGGGGCTGGGCATTGTGGGGCTACAGTTTCCTCCTGGGAAGGGGGTGTGCTTCGGGGAAAGGTCTTAGTTCTGCTTTCTACCCCGACAGCCCCTTTGAGCCCCTTTGAACCCTGGCCTCCCCCTCAGTGACATCATCTAGGGTACCCTGGAGCCCCCCAAACCACTCTTTCCCCAGTGGGGTTGTCTGTCTTCTCTGCTTCCCTGGGGGGGTTCTCCCCGATGTTCCCTGTGACTTCCGTCCCTCCCTGTCTCCCATCACTCTCTGTGGTTTGGCCTCTGCGTCTCTCTGTCTCTGGCCTCTCCCCAGCCCAGCCCTGTCTTTCATATGTTCTGGATATTGCTTGCCTTTGTGCCTTCCAGAGGTGGGCTCTGGGTTTAAAGCCTGGTTAAAACTCCTGAGGCTTGCCTCGTACCAGTCAAGGGCCCTGGGCCATTGTGCAACTGCTCAGCCTCAGTTTCCTCATCTGTAAAATGGGGATAATACCTGCTTCTCCAGCATTTTTGTGAGACAGTAATGGAACCAAACGTGGTGGTGGGTCTGAAAGCATCTAGCACTGTGCCTGACACATAGTAACTACTCCATTTCCCTCCTCCTCTCCGTGAGTGTCTCTGCCCAGCGCCTTCCCCTGTGGCCTGGGTCTCACGTCCTGATGCTGCCTTCTCTAGGTGGTACCATGGCCACATGTCTGGAGGGCAGGCAGAGACACTGCTGCAGGCCAAGGGTGAGCCCTGGACATTTCTCGTGCGTGAAAGTCTCAGCCAGCCAGGAGATTTTGTGCTGTCCGTGCTCAGTGACCAGCCCAAGGCTGGCCCGGGCTCCCCGCTCAGGGTCACCCACATCAAGGTCATGTGTGAGGTAAGGCAGCCGGGCGGTGTGAGAAGCATTTATCTGGGACTCCTGACGGTGCCCACAGCGTGGGCGGTGGGGAGAGTCAGCCTGGACTTGGGTTCAAGGCTGGGGGTGCAGGGAGGGAGGCTCAGGCCCCATGGGCTGGCCTTACTTGGCACCCCTCAGGGTGGACGCTACACGGTGGGCGGTTCGGAGACCTTCGACAGCCTCACAGACTTGGTGGAGCATTTCAAGAAGACGGGGATTGAGGAGGCCTCAGGTGCCTTTGTCTACCTGCGGCAGGTGAGGGGGTGGGCCCGGCTGCCTCCTTCCTCCCCCAGGCCAACCCCAGACGTGAGCGTCTAAGTCCTCTAAGTCACTGACTTCTGCCCTCCCGCACCCCAGCCATACTACGCCACGCGGGTGAATGCGGCTGACATCGAGAACCGGGTCTTGGAACTGAACAAGAAGAAGGAGTCCGAGGACACAGCCAAGGCTGGCTTCTGGGAGGAGTTTGAGGTGCACATGGGAACTGCCAGGGCGGGGCAGCTGAGGCAGCGGCAGCCGCGTGCGCCCCAGGCCCGCCCTTCCCCCCTCTGCCCACCTGCCCCGCGCCAGCTCCCCCTGCGGACGCCCTCTCCAGGGGCCGGTGCTCATTTCCCCTCTCGCGTCCCAGAGTCTGCAGAAGCAGGAGGTGAAGAACTTGCACCAGCGGCTGGAGGGGCAGCGGCCAGAGAACAAGGGCAAGAACCGTTACAAGAACATTCTCCCCTGTGAGCGCCCAGGCAGCCCCCATTCCTCCTCTCCCAGGCAGCTTCCATTCACCCAGGAGCCCGCCCCGCCCCAGCCCTTGCCCGCTCTCCTCCAAAAGCCTCTCCCCTCCCGGTGGAGCCTCCCCACCGCTGACAGGCAGGCTGCCCCTGCCCCCACTCCATACGGACCCCTCCCCTGCTGCCCACAGTCCTCTGTGAGCCTCGTGGCTTTTGAGACCAGAATGGCCTGTCCCCTCAGGAAGGGTCCACCCCGGAGGTGGGGAGGGCCTGGCTGACCCAGGCCGTCTCGTGTCCTCTCTGCCCACTTCCAGTTGACCACAGCCGAGTGATCCTGCAGGGACGTGACAGTAACATCCCTGGGTCCGACTACATCAATGCCAACTATGTCAAGGTTGGTGCTGTGGGTCCCGCGGGAGGAGATGCTGGGCCCTGGGAATTCCCTGTTTCATGGGGACCCTAGATGCAGAGATCCCTGGGCAAAGCCGAAGAGGGTGTCTTGGGTGGGTGGCAGTGGTGCAGGGCCCGTCCCAGGCCGAGGGTCCCACCGTCCTGGGTGCATCTCTTTGTGTTTGCCTCCAGAACCAGCTGCTAGGTCCCGATGAGAACGCTAAGACCTACATCGCCAGCCAGGGCTGTCTGGAGGCCACAGTCAACGACTTCTGGCAGATGGTGTGGCAGGAGAACACCCGTGTCATCGTCATGACCACCCGAGAGGTGGAGAAAGGCCGGGTAGGACACAGCCCTGCGCCGCTACATCCTGATCCCCCGCCCCTCCCCAGTACCTGCCGTTAACCACCATTAAGCCCAAGGAACTGCAGATGCCAGGGCAGAAAGGAGTCTCAGAGGGCAAGGACCTGGCCTTTGTGGGGAAAATGGGAAACTGAGGCCTACAGACAGTCTCTACATGCTGACTCCCAGATCTCTGCTTCGTTCCTGGGCTCTCCTGAGCTCTAGACCCAGGTTTTAGACTGTTTCTTCCTTAATGTGTCTGTCCCAAAGCAAATGTTTCCCCTGCTCCTTCCCCACCTGCCCCTACCCCGGTGCCCTCCTGTGCTCTCTGCTCATAAGTGTCTCTGGAGTCTGCCCCTCCTCCAGGAAGCTCCCCCTCCGTGGCACCCTCTGCACTGTCATCACAGTGATCCCGTCTGAAGCGCAAACTGTGTCACATTGCTCCCTCTCTGGGAACCCTGCGATGGCTTCCAGTTGCCTTTGGGATGAAATCACACCGTAAGACCTGGCATTCAAGGCCTGGTATCTTCCCTCCAACTCCGTGCTTCCCTGTGCCACTCATTGCCTCTGGCGGACCAGGCCCTTTCAGGTTCCCATGACTCTCTTTGCACAAGCTCATTTTCTGCTAGGAAATGACTTTCTCTCTCCACACTATCTCTGCCTGGCAGACTCCTCACTGTTGAAGACCCAGCTCAAATGCTACCTCTTCTGCAAAGCCATCTCTGATTTCCTCTATAACCTAGAGGGAGCATTAACCTCTTGCTCAACCATGCTCCCGCTCACCCGTCCCTCTGTGAGCTCCTAGAGGTGCAGAGGCCTAGACTTGGTCTGGGTCTGATTTGTGTTTGTAACTGCAGCCTGGTTTGCACAGCTGCAGCTTCAGTGTGTGCCAAGCGATGTTTATGGAATGAATTGTAAGGTTAAGTGGCTGATCTCATCACGTGTTGGTGGCTGGTCCGAGACCAGATCCCAGGTCTCCCGGCTCTCAGCCAGTGCATCCATTCATCCCGCAAGTGTGTGGCCCGGCACCAGGGACCCCAGACCTGCATCTGTGCCTCATTCCCCACCTCCACTCTCCCTTTTCAGAACAAATGTGTCCCATACTGGCCAGAGGTGGGCACTCAGCGTGTTTATGGGCCCTACTCTGTGACCAACTGTGGGGAGCACGACACGTCTGAGTACAAACTCCGCACCTTGCAGGTCTCCCCACTGGACAACGTGAGTGTCCCCACCCCCTTCCCCACTCCTGGATCCCCTCCTTGGACCTGAGCTCTTGTCTGGTGGGGTGGGACGAGGCAGGATGGGTGCCTCATCAATGGTGGGAGCAGAGGGCACTGACCTTGTGTCCTCGGCCCAGGGGGACCTGGTTCGGGAGATCTGGCACTACCAGTATCTGAGCTGGCCCGACCATGGGGTCCCCAGTGATCCTGGGGGTGTCCTCAGCTTCCTGGACCAGATCAACCAGCGGCAGGAAAATCTGCCTCATGCAGGGCCCATCATCGTGCATTGCAGGTGAGAATAATCATCACAGTGGTAGTAACAATAAAAGTAACAGCTGAGAGGTAACTACAGCCGGTGCCTGTGCTGTTGTAAGCAGCGTACGCATTAACGTTAATGCCACCCCCTGCCCCGCCCCAGCCTCTTCTGGACCCCTTCGTGGCTCCAGACCCTTGGATGGAGCTTGGCTGGAAGCAGCCCTCCTGTTGGCCCTCTGCCTGGAGTGCCTTCCTCTGGGGCTTCCCTGAATCTAGTCCAACCCTGTAAACACAGGCGAGGAAACAGAGACCCAGCCACTGGCCAGGTCACCAGCTAGTGTGGGGAGAGGCTGGACTGGCATTCCCCAGAGACCTGGTCCTGGCTGCCCCCAAGACCTTCACCTGCACTCTGTGTGGCTCCCCAGCCCTCCTCTTACCCTGCCTGTAGCCCTGGGGGGCTTAGTCTTCTTCTTTGCTCCTCCCTCCCTCCCCGCTTCCCCAGCCATGCCTGGCAGCTTGGCCCCCAGGGTTGTTTAGGGACAGCTCTGTCTTTGGGAGGGGCACATGTACCGCCAGCTCCTCTGGAGACCCTCCTGTTCATGACCAGGAGACCCTGTTCCTGTGAGGTGGAGGGTGGGGCAGCAGTGAGGAGGAGCCGGGGGTCCCACAAATGAGCACCCCAGCCGGCCTGGCCAGGACGGGAGGCAGCAGGTGCAGGCTCCCAGATGAGGCCATCTGTTTAAATTCCAGTGCCTCCACTTACCAGCTCTGTGACCTTGGACAGTTAACCCAACTTCTAGGCTAGGTGCTGTAATCTCAGCACTTTGAGAGGCTGAGGTGGGTGGATCACTTGAGGCCAGGTATTCGAGACCAGCCTGGGCATTATCTCAAGACCTCATCTCTAAAAAGACAAAAAAAAAAAAAAAATTACCTGGGCTTGGTTGTTCATGCCTGTAGTCCCAGCTACTCGGGAGGCTGAGGCAGGAGGATCGCTTGCACCCAGGAGTTTGAGGCTGCAGTGAGCTATGATGATGCCACTGTGCTCCAGCCTAGGCGACAGAACAAGACCCTGTCTCTTAAAAAAAGAAAAGAAGAGAAAAAAGTTACTTAACTTCTCTGACCCTCAGATTCCTCATCTGTAATGTCAGGATCTCCTAGCGTGGTTGTGAGGGTTAAACGAGACCCTGTCGCTGTGTCTGGAATCCTCTAAGCCCTCCAAAGATGGGAGCTGTTGATGGTTTGGTAACTGCCGGCAGCCTTGCCCTCTTCCCTTCCCACTCTCTCCATGTGACCGGTCTGTGAGGACCTCAGACTTCCTCCTTCTTCCCACCCGCAACTATTTGCCCTGGGGCAGGGCTGGGTGGGCTGAATCTGGAGGTGCCCCTACATACTGTCTTGGGGACCCTGCTCTGCCCGCTGCCCTCCCAGGGGCAGCCCGTCCCCAGGAACTACCCTCCTGCTGCCCCCTGCCCCCACCACACACACATTCACACACTTCTTGAAAGCCTCATGGCCTTTATTTAGAAGTTACAGGAAGGAAGTGGGTGATGGGGGGGTTATTTTTGACAATCTGGGTTTGAAATTAGACAGCGCGACTCCGGGCATCGGCCTGATGGGCCCCGTCGAGGGCGGGACTGCAGTCTCCGTGGGGTCTGTCTGGCAGAGGGTGGTGGCAGAGGGTAGAGAAGAAGAGACTTCCCGCCTCGCTACTCCTCCAAGCCCCTGCTTCCCGTTGCCTCAGCGCTGCCCTTTCCCGGCCAGGCTTTGGAGAAAAAGGGAAATGAGGCCCCACAGAAAGAAGCTCCAAACGCAACTCTTGCAGCGAGGGACAGGGAGGGTGCAGAGTGCCTGCGGAGCCGGCAGGACAGCTGTGGGATGTGGGGGTCCCAGATCTTCCTGGATAGGGGGCAGCAGGAGGGAAGGGTCAGGGAGTGGAGGAGGGTAGCCCTGGGCTGGGAGGAAGGGAAAGGATGGAGGCGGCTGTAGGGCCCAAGTCAGCACTTCAGAGCCAGGCCCTGCCTGCAGATCCCTCGGCTGACGTGGGTGGGCAGCACCGGCGCAGGGCCGGGTGGCTCCTGCCCTCGCTCACCCAGTGACTCTCGCGCGCGCTCTCTCGTGTGGCTGGAGGCTCAGGCTCCTCAGGGCCGGAGCCCTTCCCTGTGAGGAGTTGACCAAGCCTCTGACTGAGCCCCCTGCTCTCTCCAGCGCGGGCATTGGCCGCACAGGCACTATCATTGTCATCGACATGCTCATGGAGAACATATCCACCAAAGGTGAGGGTCACCTGGGGGGACCTTGGGGGTGGGCAGGTCAGCAGCCCCCTGGTGTCTGCCCCTGCTTGGGCCTGAGGTCCGACTGCCACCCTTGCCCAGGGCTGGACTGTGACATCGACATCCAGAAGACCATCCAGATGGTGCGGGCGCAGCGCTCGGGCATGGTGCAGACGGAGGCGCAGTACAAGTTCATCTACGTGGCCATTGCCCAATTCATTGAAACCACCAAGAAGAAGCTGGAGGTCATGCAGGTGCGTGTAGAGCGGGCCCGGTGGGCTGCAGTGGGAGTGGGCGTCACCTGGGCCTGCTGGGACCACTGTCTTCCCACCGCATCTCTGCCCACAGTCACAGAAGGGCCAGGAGTCCGAGTACGGGAACATCACCTACCCCCCGGCCATGAAGAATGCCCATGCCAAGGCATCTCGCACCTCCTCCAGGTGAGTGGCCCCTGCCTGCCACCTCCCGGTCTCGTCCCCTCTCCTGCCTGACCCGATCCTCCCTTTCTGGAGAGGACGTGTTGCAGCTGGGGAGAGCTGGGTTCAAGTTCGAGCTTGGCTCACTGTTCACAAGTGTTTCCCAAGTGCCCACTGCTCGTGGGCTTGTGCCAGGTCCCAGCAGTGTGCTAATGTATGGGACACAGCCTCTGCCCTCAAGGAGCTTTGTGTCTAGTGTAGGGACAGTGACCAGGTGAGATGGGTGGCCCAGGGGGCTTGCTGGTGCTGGGTCACCCTGCACTGTCCGCTGGCCTGCACCGACTGCCTGCTCTTGCCCACCCACAGAAACAAGGAGGATGTGTACGAGAACCTGCAGAGTAAGGGCAAGAAGGAGGAGAAGGTGAAGAAGCAGCGGTCAGCAGACAAGGAGAAGGGCAAGGGTTCCCTCAAGAGGAAATGAGCCGGGCGCTGTCCGGAGTGGCCATGGTACGACCCCTTCTACGGGGTCTCCCCCGGGCTGCCCCCCGGTGCCCTGGCTCCGGTGATTTCCCCTGGATGCATGGGGTGGCTGCAGTCTCGCTCTGTGCTTCCCAGCTGCTCCCAGACCTGCTTCTTGTCCCCTCTCCAGGTTCCAGCCACGCTCTCACTCCCTCACTCCCTTCTCTCTGCAGCCTCAGCCCTGATCGTGCAGAGGCTTCCTGTGGACCCACTGCAGCCTGAACCGGGAGCCCCCATTCTATTGTAATTTAGATGGCCCTGCCCCTCCCCTGTATATAGCCCAGCAAGGCCCTTCCACTCTTGTAAATAAAGCCCGTGGGATCACTGTGTGTTGCTTCTAACTCTGACTCTGAGTGTCTTGTGGGTGGGCTGGGGGAGCAGGGTGGGCAGCAGTATGGGCGGCCGAGTGAAAGCTCGGTCTTCATGGTCAGACTCTTGGTTCTGGACTCTGCTGCACACACAGGCGTGCGATCTGGGCAAGCTTCCTCTGTCTCTTTTCTTTCGAATGGAGGATGATCATAACTGGGTGGTTGTTAAGATCATGGAGCCAGTGGACAATGATAACAATGGCAACAATAATTCATGACATGCTTGCCATGTGCCCAGGCACTGTTCAAAAGATTCCACGTGTAAAATCAACCCAGGTACCTTTCAGTGAAAGGTGAAAGCCTTTCACTTTCCGGTGGAGGCACAGAGAAATGAAGTAACTTGCTTAAGGTCACAGGACTATTGAGCAGTGAAGCTGCGATTTTAGCCTGGGCCGCTGGGCCTCAGCCCCGATTCTCCTTTTTCTGGAGATGCGGCTGGGGCCACCCTGAGGGAGACCCAGCCACACTGGGCTGATGCCAACTTCCGAGTAACAAGGGCCAGGAAGCACAGACCTAAGGCCAGGCTCCTTGCATCCTCCACCTGGGGGATGGGGGACACACGAGCGCTGCTCCCCCAGCCAGGGCGCTGCCGTCCTTACCCTCCTGAATGGCTGGCTGACCTGAAGATTGTTTTACCGTTTAGGACCCTCTACCCTCCCCTGTGTCCAGGGTGGGGTTCCTTCTGCATTTAAAACGCCCCTTTCCTGGGGAGGTGAGCCAGCGAGCCCCACCTCGGGAAGGCCTGGCTCCCACTCCTGCAAGGGCTCAGGAGCGGGGCTGGGTCCTGGAGCACAAAGGCTTGACTTGTGTTACTCAGCAAACCTCAGCGTCAAGGCATCGCACAGTCCCTGTCCTTACGGCACTTAGGAGACTGGTCGGGGAGACAGATCCACAAACATGAAATAATTGCAGACAGGTATTAAGAAGGACGCAAACAAAGAGGAGGGAGAGAGCAGCTCTGGGATTGAGCAACACAATAGCTCCCAGGACTGTGGCCCTCCAGGGGGTGGGTGGGTGGGGCCCTCACCTGCAGGCCTGGCCTTGGGGCCCCTCTCAGCAACGCCCTTTCTACACCTGCCTGCGGGAGCTGCACAAAAGGACGGCAGGTCCCACCCCTCTAACCGCTCTCGGGCTAGCTGCTCTTGGGTTGGGCCTTGGACTCCACTGGAGCCCCGTGCTGAGAGCAGCTCCACACTGCCTCGGAAGGATCGGAAGGATCGGGGCCAGCTGGGGTCTCTTGGTGGGACACTAAGGGCACCCTGCTGGGACCTGCGTGCCTTTCACAGGCCTGGTGGGGCCTCCTCCCTCCCCTTTCCCTCAGGGAAGCCCAGCACAGGCTGGGCACAGCGCGGCATGGCCCAACCCCTGCAGAGCTGACCCCTCGCTGACCTCAGGGATCTCTGGCCCTCTAGCTCTGGCTGTGGGCAGGGTCTGAGGCCCCTGAGGAGAGGGCTAGGCCTGGGGCAGCAGCCTCCTGGGGGGTGAGGGAGAGCCAAGGACAGTCCCTCCCTTTGCTCCTCTGGAGATGGGGAGAAATCAGGTAGGTAGGAGAAGAGGCCCTGGGAAAGGCTGGGCGGCCTAGTGGGGTGGCCGGGCCTCTGAGGGTTGCCGGTGGCTGGTGCTGGGAGGGAAGGGGTTAAGGCGGTGGGGGGGGCAGCCTATGGCAGGAGGACACACCTGTGCGCAGGGCGGCGGGCGGGGCCCAGGTAAGGAGCCTGCGCTTGCGGGCAGGCGAAGAAGGAAGGAGGAAGAGTGAAGTCAGGGCAGGCTCCAGGCCCTTGACTCTGGGTCCTTGATGCCCCTTCCTCTCCTCGGCACTCAGTCGCTGGAGGGCAGGTGGGCCTGGTGACAGGTAAAGGCCACCAGGTGCGGGGTCGTGGGGCTGAGCTGGGACTGCAGAGGGGGATGAGGGCTGGTGAGTTGGTGTGTGTTGGGGGGACAGGCTATGGGGGTGGGGGGGGAAGGGGCTCAGAGGCTGACAGCAGATGAGTGAGGGGCTGCCGACCTCCTGCCTAGGCCTCAGCCTGGGCCTCAGCGATCCATCGGCACTCAGGGTGGGGCTGGTGGCAGGCGGCTGGGCTCACCCGGAAGTGTCCCCAGGGGTGCGGGTGGTGGGGGATGGGAGCCAGGGATCTGCAGCTTCTCCGCAGGGAGCCTGGGCCTGGCCCACCTGGCCCAAGGTGGGCAGGCTGGGTGGGGGCCCTCGTCTTACCCAGCAGTGTTTGGGTGCTGGTCCGGAGTCTCTAATACTGCCGGGTAATGATGGAGGCCCCTGCCCTGTGTCAGCGACATCGATCGCCTCAGGCCCCTGGCCATTAGCTGGCTGCAACCCCCTCCCCACCTCCCCATACAGCCTGGGAGCCTCGGCCTGCACAAGAGGTGGCTCTCACTGGCCGCCGACTGCCACTGAAGGGACACAATGGCACCAGCCCCTCCTTCCGCCCGTATGATTTGTCATCTGGCGGGTCCAGAACCTACAGCCGACCTTGAGTTTGGGATTGGGTTGTACACCCAGGAGACCTCATCTGGCCTGTGGCCAGGGTCCCTGTAGCATATGGTCAGCTCTGGCCTGGAGTTCCTTGTTGGCCGGCTCTGGGTCCATCTTCCAGTACAGTGTTGGATGGTCTAATTGTGAAGCTCCTAACACTGTCTGGTAAAGATGGCCCCCGGGTTGGTTCCCTCAGCAGTGACCTTCAGGTAGCCCTGAAGACCATGGAGGCCTCCTGACCAACAACCTCTGACCTTCACCCCTTTGGATGGGGGAGAATCACCAGGAAGAGGGGAACAATGGGAAGGAGACAAAATGGCTGCCTCTAGAGTCGCAGCAAGATTTGGAAACACGCTTGTTCCCCGGGGACTTCCACTGTCTCCCCACCTTGGGGACGTGCAAGAAATAGTGTGAAGAATGTGTGGACTGATCCAGGTCACTGGACCTGTCTTTTGTCTGTCGATCTCATCTTAGGCTCCCAGCAACTGAGGATTGGGGCTGCCACACCTGCTTCATCTCCCTTTCCTGCCGTGACAGTCAACCTGCAGGGCAGGGAAAAATCGGTCTCCCTTCTTCAAAAATTGAAGGAGCTGAAGATTAACCTGAGCCCCTGTTAAGAGTCACCTCCTCCCCTACTATGTATTTCTTAGTTCCTGCATATACTTTGCTCCCAGTGTTTTCTCCTATGGCTTCAAATCTTGTTTCCCCAAAGGGACAGAAATGGGCCGTGGTGGGACTTGGGTATAAATAGTGGCTTCATTATTCTGGTGCTTGGGATTCTGGAGCTGTTTTAGGAAGGACATGAGATGCTTATCTGTGGACGCAAAACACGCACCTGTTCTGTTAGGGGCCCCAGAGCTGTGGGAGTGAAAAGCCCTGTCCTCCCACCTGGTGACTAAGAAATGGAAGGTTTGGGCGATACAATCCACTGGGCTTCTGATCACAGAAGGGCCTCAACAGGCGCACATGGTCTCCCCCACGGCTACCATAGCCCTGTCACTAAGGAAGCAGCTCCTGTTGGGGTCATCAGATTTTTCTTCTGGCTCAGCAAAGCCACAGCTGCTCTAACCTTAAAAAAGATGTTGGCAAATCAGTGAGTGATGTGGTAGAGACGGAGGGTGGGGTGACTAGCACAGCTGGGCCTCAGGACCCGAGGGTAGGGCTTAGGACCAATTTAGAGCCCAGGCCTGCTCCCCCTTTAGCCACCCTGTCCAGATTCCCTGCGCCCTCTGCTGGCAGAGACAAAGACAGACCCGGGGGAGCTCGCATGTGACCGTGCGTGCGCATGCGCGCCTCCGTGAATCAGCCACACAGCCAGACACACCTGAAGCCCTGACTGCAGCTTAAGTAATAAAAATTTATTGAGAATTCCTGGGTTGGTGGTTATCTCCTCCCAACCTTGAGGGAGGGAACAACGCTAGGAAATCACTGAGAAATAACACGCTGTCCCAACACCCCTGGCCAGCACGAAGGAGGAAAGTCATTCCCCAGAAAAAGGGCTGGTCTTCAGTCTTCCTTAATCCAAGAGGGGTCGTGAGGCCTGTGCGGGTGTGGGGGGGACCATCATGTGACACTGGGGGTGGGTGGGAGTATGCTGGACCCCTAGCTGGCTCCTCAAAAACTGGAGAAGATCCACTTGCTCTCTGGAGGTGGAGTTCTTGGTTCCCACGCTCATTTCTTACCCTTGATGAGGCTGTCACTGTGGAAAAAGGGACAGATGATATTATTAGGGGACATAAAATGTGAGAGCACTCCAGGCCATTCCCTCCTCCCGATTGTCTGTGGGGAGGTGAGAAAGGTGAGGTGGGTTACCCGGAGAAGGTGGCCTGCAGGACCCCATAGAAACAAGGACGTAGTGACAACTTACCTTCCCCTGTGGTCCCAGATCGCCAGATGAACAGGAAACAGAGAAGAGAAATGCGTGTGAGAATCGACAGCTTCAGGCCCCACCCAGCTCTGACCCCTCCTTGGCTCCCAAGAGAAAAAGACAAACAAGGTTGGCCGCCAGGAACTTCAGGCTCCTAAAAGGAGGACTTGTCTCATGGCCCCTCTATTTCTCATTTTCTCCTGTCCTAACATCTTTCCATGCACCAGAGGGCTCTTAAGTAAGAAAACTGATGATCATCTTCCATCGTTTTTCAGTTAGACAAAAACTTTACAATTAAAGTACTTTTTACATGAATAATCCTATTTGATTTCTTAAAATGAATCCAATGAGATGCAAGATAGGAATTGTGAAGTACCTCCTTTTCTAACTTTGGTTCAGAAAAATAGTCTTTCAAGGGTCACACGAGTAGATGTTACAGACTCCAGAGCCTAAGTGACCACATTTAAGCCCCATGTTCTTTGTGACATCCCACTGCAGTCACGTCTCTCACCGGGTGAAACTTTCATCCTGTAGGTTCAGCACTAGGTTTTCAGCAGTGAGATAGATTCGGTTCTGTGACGTCGCAATCTACGGGGCAGGAGACAAGACAGATGCCTGCAGTAAGCAAAGCCCTGGATCCCTACTCTCGCAACTCAATAGCCACTTCACGAAACGCACGTGGGTTAGGACCAGGGATGCCGTGATGAATAAGACATGGTTTCCGCTCTCACCCAAGGATCCAGAGCAGTGAGCAGCTGCGATGTCTTAGTACCATAACAGAGCCATGAACAAAAGGTCGGGGGAGCCCAGAGGAATTGTTCTCCAGGAGGGGAAGAGTGCCAGAGAGGACAGTTTCAGTAGAAACCCGAACAAACAACACTCTAATTCCCTCACTTCCATGTGTGTTAACTGAAAACACTTCTGGTCTCAAGGCAGCGCTGTGACAGATGCTGGGCTCTCACACTAACCGTCTTGGAGATGTTCTGGGCTGCCCGGATCTTTCGAAGTTTGATGTAGCCAGGGTTCTTGCTCAGCGCTTCTCCAAGGTGAGCAGGGTAGGGTTAAGGGTTCACACAAGGGCGGGTCTCATCCTGGCCCCATTCTCACCACTCCCTCGCTCTAGTCCTCCTCTGGGCTGTCAGATCCAAGGTTGCGCTCAGATAGCTCGTGTCCAGCCCTACTTTGGGCCCCATCTGTGGGCCTCCCTGCAGGCTGCTGCCAGGAACTGGGGGCAGCAGCAGAAACGGAGGCAAGGCCAGTAGTGCTATTGATCTGGCCTTACAGTGGGGAGCCAGCCTTGGGTACCCCCACTAAGACTTCAGATCTTGTCTATATCCACCCCCCGCCCCCAACAAGGAGCCAAGGGTCAGACAGCACGGAGTCGCATTCGCCTTAGTCTCATCAGCCGGCCCCTGAGGGAGGACGGGAAAGCAGGGAGCTCTAGGGGCTGAGCCGAGATTGCTCTAACAGAAGGATATCATCCTGGCGGCCTCAGCCTCACCCTCAGCCTGCACAATCTTCTGCCGCTGTTCCTGCTTTGCTTTTTCCACCAAGAACTGGGCTCGCTGGGCCTCCTGCTGGGCTGTGGTGAGAGAGAGGCAGGGGGTCACAGATGTGAGGTGTCTTCTTCCTTCTGCATGGCAGAAGCCCTTGCCCTACTATTCTTGTGACTCACCCACTTGTTTGGCTTCTACAGCAGCTGTGTACTCTCGGCTAAAGCTCAGCTCTGTGATGGCGACATCATCCAGGATAAGGCTGAAGTCCTTGGCCCTTTCTGTCAGCTCCCGTCGGATCAACAGGGATACCTGGGGGCAGGGGTGAGGAGGGGATGGAAGGGGTGGTTTGAGGGGACTGGAGAACTGAAAGGAAGGATGTGTTGCCATTACCATCTGGATACCAGATCCCTTGAGAACGGCAGAAAACTCACTAACCCCTTCTTAGTTCCTCACTATAACATCTGAGTTGGAAAGGACTTGGTTCAATTTTTTTATCTGATAGATGAGACAGCCTTAGGGAGGCGATGTGACTGCCTGAGGTCACACTGACTTCCACTTCCCAATCCTCCACTCCCTCCAATATAATGTGCATCTCCTTAGCTTCCTGTCAGGCAAACCTGTAACATGAACTTCTCTGCTGAAAGAGGGGCAAGAAAAGTCAAGACTTCGTATTTTCTCCTATGCTTCCTAACACTGACGGCTATGGAGCTCTAATGTTGGCTCTCCTATTTCTCACAGTGGTAATTAGTACAGCTTTTAAGTGAAAATGGACCCAGAGTGACAACCCTTTTCTAATTAAGCTGCCTTTGCTAATATATAGTATTGCAGGCCTAGGAGGGAAATGCTGACATCATGCAAACGGTGATGGGAGTCAGACCTGGGCCCGCTGGGTGATCAGCTGTGAGGCGTTGAACTTGGCCACCACACTCTTGAGCACCTCGTTGACAATGGATGGCAGCACTCGTTCTTCGTAGTCTAGCCCTAAGCGCTGGTACATGCTAGGAAGCTCCTGGGCATTGGGTCGAGACAGCACTCGCAGGGAGATGTTCACCATCTGCAGGTCTGAGAGTGAGGTCAGCAGTGGCTGGTTAAGGCCAAACCCCTTCCCAAGCGTTTTCTCCTCCATGTGCCCCCCGTGGAGGGGAGAGAACAATCAGGTTGACAAGAAGCTGTGACCCTGCACAGGTGAAAGCATCCACTGTGCAGCCTTCTTTACCCACAACCCCTCCACTAGGAGGGCTGAGTGCCTTTTCCCACAGTACGCACACAACCCCTACCGAAGGCTCTACATAGTGCTGTGCCATGACCATCTAGCTCCTACAAGGACTTGAGGACAAGGCTTGTGTTTTTTTTTTATGAATCTTTTATTCTCAGGGCCCACGGTTCAGTGAATGAATACCTAGTGACCTGCACTAAAAACAGTACAAATAAGTACATTACCGGTCACAGGTGAGCTACTTTCCTCAGTGCGTACATGTATGGGGATGGGGATGAGGAAGGGGTCTGGGAATCTCAAAGGCTGGCTTCTAAGTCTGGTCTAGAAGTAGCAAACAGGTGAACTTGTCAAGAGTGGGGTCTCACTCCTCCAGAACAGTGTGTACTAGTGGATAGAACTGTAGATATAATTCATAAGTCAAGCAGTTAGAAGAAAAAAAGGTTTTAAAACAAGGCTTTGATCTAGGCAGTGAATAGGACAAAGGACAGATAATGTTCATTGAGTATACATTAGGAGAGAGGGAAAGAAAGGTAATAAAAACGTGCAAACGCATAGTGTGTCCAGAATGTATTGCTTTAACCCCAGGAGGCAGGTACTTTTGTTATGGTTCTTGCTTGCAGAGTGGAAACCAAGGCCTAAGAGACCTGAACTACCACCTTCCCCTAGGGTCTCCTGCCAGATTCCCTTGTTTACTTTAGGTATCCCACCTGCCATGTGACTACTGAGTGCTCAGACCTACCTTTGGAGCCCGTGGGGGAGGAGATTTTTCGAGGTCTGGCCCGAATGTCATAGATAATGGGGTACTGGAACCAGGGGATCCTGGAGGGGAGAGGACAGGGATAGGTATCAGGAAACTGCAGTTTCACTAGCTTTGCCTCACCACGGTATTTTCTGGCCTGTTTCTCCCCAGACTGACCGTGGACAAGGAGAGATTCTCTTCTCCCTTTGGATAACAACAGTTTATGTGCCGCAGGAGTCTGGGGCAGCACCCACTGTCCTGGGAGCGCAGGTGAGGGGGGAAGGAGCAGCGCTGAAACCTGTTTCGAGTCTGACCACAGCCTTGGAGGGGTGGCGTCAAGGGTGAAGGGTCAGGGTCAGTCGGCCATTACCTGAAGTGAAGGCCCTCGGCCAGGATGGTGTCCTGCTGCACGCCACCGATCCGATTAAAGAAGATGGCTCTCTGACCGCCTTCCACTGTGGGGAGAGGGGTTGGGATCAGATCACGCCGCTGCTCAAAGTGCTAGGCTCTGCTGGGGCGGGGTGAGGGGCTAGGTGAGTGCGAGGACCTGGAGAGACAGGGCAGGGGGTCTGGGGAGGGGCGGGAAGCGTCCCGCGAGCGGGAGGAGGTTTTCTCACCGGTGAACACGGATTCGCGGACACCGTAGGCCACGGCGCCAGCCCCCAGCAGCAGCTTCAGCGCCGTGCCCATGCCCCGTGGCCCGGCGGGCAGCCGCCCCGCTAAGTCCTTCAAGTTCTGGGCCATGTCTGATCCTGAGGCCGTCGGCACCAGAGATCAGAAGGGGGTGCCGGCCCGCCTCTACCCTACTCCAGTTTTGGGATCACACCCTTCACACGAGGGTTCGGGCCAGTAATGCTGGCGGGAGAAAGGGCACCGGAAGTGCGCTCCCTTTAAAGTCCTCCCCCTTTTCCACAGCCGACCTGAACTTCGCGCACAGAAATCGCGCATCCGGAAGTCCCGCCTCTTTCTGGAACCCTGCCCTCCCAGGGAAGGTAGCGCAAGAGCAAGCCATCGCCATTTCCAAGCGCCCACTTTCAAAATGGCAGCCGGGAGGAAGTTTGCGATTAGGACAGCGCGAGGTTCTCAGTTAAACGCGCTAGCGCAATTTCCGGTCCGGTTGCAAGATGGCCGCGCCCAGAGGTGGATTCCAACCTCGCGAGCGGAGCGGTGGGGAGCAGGAACAGGACTGGGATGCTGCGGCGCCCAAGAGGCCCCGACTCGGGGCAGGAAGCAAGATCGGAGGCCGTAGGCTCATTGTGGTGCTGGAAGGGGCCAGTCTGGAAACAGTCAAGGTAGTTTCGGACAGGAGGTAGAGATTTGGTAGATCAATAGGATGGGACTCTGGGATGAGGGTGAGGGGCTCAGAGTGGATGGAGAAAGTAGAGAGGTGAAACATTCTTTTGGAGGAAGGGTAGCCTAATTGGCTGTCTCTTGCTTTGATATCCTGGGTTGCCAGTACTCATTTTCTTTCGCCTTTCTTGAATCGTATTCTAACCCTCGCCACCTTGCGTCCAGTTGATTAACTAGGATTCTGTGATACAAAGGCATCTAGGGGAGGAGAGTTTCGTACATTGCGACATAATGCATCCTAGGACTAGTTACTGGGCAAACGAAACGAGAAAAGTAGTAGCTGTAGCCTAGTCTGCCCACTCTTATTTCGTAAGGTCTTCATGTTTCAGTTCATTAAAGGGTGTCCACTGTCACCTTTCTATACTATCGACCTCTATACTATCTCCAGATTGTCATTTAATACTTTTACACCCTCCCTTTTTTTTTTACTTATCATTTGTCTCTCTTCCCGAATGTAACAGAACCAGCAAATTCTCTATCTTAAAGTCCTGTGGAATGTTCTTATTCCTTTTTTGTTTCTTCTACTTTTTAGAGCTAAACCTATTCATTGAGTAGGCTTAGAAGAAATAGCATTGGCTTAGAAATTAGGCCTGGATTTTTTTTTTTTTTATGGGGACAGCCAGCAAAGAGGGCAGAGGCAGAAAAGGAGGGGAGGGAGCGGAAGGGACGTGAGTTGAGCAAGAAGCACCGGAGAGAAAGAGAGAGAACGAGAATGTGGATGCCCAGGAGAGTGGGAACTGGAAACATACATTTGCCGGCCCGAGTTGCTCTGTTTCCACGTGGCTCTCAGGGTGGAAGCCAGGCCTAGATTTTAATCTTGGTTCCTTTTTCCCCTCCCAGAGACAGGGTCTCACTCTGTAATCCTGGCTAGAGTCCAGTGTCACTGTCACAGGTCACTGCAGCCTCAAATTCCTGGCCTCAAGCAGTCCTCTTGCCTTGGCCTCCTGAGTTGCTGGTATTACAGGTGTGAGCCACAGTGCGCAGCCTCATCTTGGTTCTTACACTTATTTTAAGTGGGTGATAATGAGAAAACAAGTTTGTTCTCAGTTTGTAAAATGGGGATAATACCTTAACTGTGAACCACACAGGAGGACTGTAACGAAAGTCCTTTAAAAGTAGTACATTTTCATTAACAATTTAAGGTGAGATTTTTACCATCTGTTCTTCCTCAACCACTGTGGCACTTAATTAAGCTAGCAGTCTAGAAAACCTGTTATTTAAATGACCAGCTAATCAGGTTTTCTCTCCTTCTGTAATTATTTCTAACCTAATTATAGGCTCTTAAATTCATTTTTCAGTAATTGCCTACTATTTTTCTAGCCTGTTTCTTCTGAATGTTAATTTTGACATTTGTGAAGTCAGCTATCCCATATAACTAACTTGCCAAATGTGAAAAGCACGTCTGTGTCAGGAGAGTGGTTGACAGTGTAAACAGATGTGCATTAGGCTGCTTGGGTTCAAATCCCTTCTACCTACTTACTAGTTGTATGACCTTTGTTAGGCAAATCACTTAACCACTTAGTTTCCTCATGTATTCCGTGGGGATAATAATAGTACCTGCCTTATTGGGTTGTTGGAAGGATTAAATAAGTTAATATGTATAAAGCGTTTAGAATAATGTCTGGCAGTTAGAATCAGTTATTTGTTCTAGGTTACTTATTAAGAAGTTGAAAATTAACTTTTAATCACCGAATTAAAATTCCCTAGAGCGTGCTGTGGAAGAATTTAGGCCAAATTGTCATCAATGGTACTTTAGTAGTGATAGAAGTATTCATAAATGGTTGAAATTTTTTCTTTTTTTAAGGCAAGCACAAGGTGAAATTTATTGAGGGGGAGCAAGATAGGATTATATAGCAAGAGCAAGCCTTAGGTTTATAGAGCAAGCTACATATGCCACAGATGACGACTGGACCCCCTGTTGTAGCAAAACAGATGGTTGAAATCTTTATTGAACTATACTGTTATCTTTTGTTTCCTTGTAGTGGCACCTTTTGCTTCTGCCAGCATTTAACAATTATTGAGTTTATATCAGGCTGTTCATTCTTTTAATTATTAGGTTAAATGTTACTTTGTCAGAGGAATGACTCCCTGGGTACAAATTAGCTCCTGTTGTTATAATCCTTTTTTTTTCTTCTAAGAGAGGTGGGGTCTCACTGTCACCCAAGCTGGAGTGCAGTGGCTTGATCATAGTTCAAGAACTCCTGAGCTTGAACGATCCTCTTGCCTCAGCCTCCTGAGTAGCTGATACTACAGGCGTGTGCCACCACGCCCAGCTAATTTTTAAAAATTTTTTTATAGAGATGAGGTCTTGCTATGTTGCCCAGGCTGGTCTTGAACTCCTGGCTTCAAGCAATCCTCCTGCCTCAGCCTCCCAAATTGTTGGGATTACGGGTGTGAGCCACTATGCCCAGGCTTGGACATAATCCTTTATTGAACCATTTACTTTCCTTCCATGTTCATTATAATTTAAGTATTCATGTGTTTGTTTACTGTTTTTGAGAACAGAGAATAAGGTTAAAAAATTATTTCCTATTTATCTTCAATACCTTTTATAGTCATGACACATAGTATTCTTTCTCTGATTATTCTAGTTTATGGTTTTCAAGCTTATTAACCACAACCCACAACAAAAAAGTTACATTGTGAGCCAGTATACACATTTAACTATATAAAACCAAAAGTTCATAAACAATTATTTACCATTACTGTATACAAATCTGATGTTTTCTGTTTCATTAAAAGAACAAAAACCCTGGTTATATCCTACTAATGGGTTGAAACTGGATTATTCTATTCAAGGGTTTCTTTTCCTTCTGTAACTAAGGGTGTCCCATGGACTTAACTCTCGGTCCTCTATTCTTTGGGCTTACTTTCTGACATTCTTGTTATTTCAACTACAATTCATTTCAAAATCTATATCCCGGCCGGGCGCGGTGGCTCACACCTGTAATCCTAGCACTCTGGGAGGCCGAGGTGGGCGGATTGTTTGAGCTCAGGAGTTCGAAACCAGCCTGAGCAAGAGTGAGACCCCGTCTCTACTAAAAATACAAAGAAATTAATTAGACAACTAAAAATATATAGAAAAAATTAGCTGGGCATGGTGGCACATTGCCTATAGTCCCAGCTACTCGGGAGGCTGAGGCAGGAGGATCACTTGAGCCCAGGAGTTTGAGGTTGCTGTGAGCTAGGCTGACGCCACGGCACTCTAGCCTGGGCAACAGAGCGAGACTCTGTCTCAAAAAAAAAAAAAAAAAAAAATCTATATCCCTCTCCCCTTAGAGCCATGTATCTCCAGATGTTGCTAGACATATACAAATGTTTTAGTGATACATAAAATTTTAGGCTTTCAAAACCTGTATTTATACCTAACAGTATGTTTTCATACTTTTTACTGACCACCCTAATGCTCTTTAGGTTTCCAAATTGCAACTTGCAATTATTTTTTTTAGCTGTTACAGATGTAGTCCAGCTCTTTATATCAAACTTCTAGCGAGTGTCTTTTCTGGTATACACAGAGTTGCCAGGAGAGTGTTTCTCAGTCATTCTCATCCTGTCCCTCTTACTCCAGAATTATTTCTGGCTCTGTGCTTGACACATTAGGATTCTGCAGTTTACAAAGCAGTTTCATATATAGTCACTGCCCTTCAGTGTCTCATTTCCCACTTTTTTCCAAAATTTACTTTCTCCATTTCTTCTTTTTCTTGATTCTGTCTGTACCTTTGCTTATGGCCAGTCTTAAAACTGGGAGTAACCTCTTTGTTTTACTTCAGAGAGAAGTATTCCTTGATTAAACTACCTCCTGCATCATTAGAATTTTCACACTTCTTCCTGTTCAGATGAGCAGCTTTTCCCTTAGCGCATATTTGTTTTGTTATAAGCAAACCGAGGGTAGAGACTATGTATGTATATGTGCCCAGAACATACATAGTACTCCTGTGATAAACACAAGCATTCATCCTTACTCACTAACCTAACTCCTGCCTGGTTTCAAAAATCTCTCACTGGCCTTGTCTCATAGCCTCAGGTTTTAAACTTAAATCCAGGGTAGATAACGTGAAATCACAGGGTGTGCCCTTCCCTCCCTTTTCCCTCTAAGACCAGTTACTTGAGGGGTGCAAATATGGCCCTACAGTAATCCTATGAAGGGCTTGCTGGGCCCCACCCCCAGAGTGTCTATTTAATAGGTCTAGAGTGGGCCTGAGAACTTGCCTAACAAGCTTCCAGACGGTGATGCTGCTGCTGGCTTGGGGACCACACTTTGAGAATCACAGGGCTAGGTAATAGAAGCTTACGTTGCTCTCTCATTATGTTCCTCGTCCCTCAGGTAGGGAAGACGTATGAGCTACTGAACTGTGACAAGCACAAGTCTATGTTGTTGAAGAATGGACGGGACCCTGGGGAAGTGAGGCCAGACATAGCCCACCAGGTAACTCCAGGGACAGAGCTCATGGCCCTTTCAGCCTATGTGGAAGGTAACGCAGCCGAATGCTGCTTTTCTTCAGCCTTAACTGTGCCTTGGTTTCTGCCTTCCTCAGAGTTTACTGATGCTGATGGACAGTCCCCTGAACCGAGCTGGCTTGCTCCAGGTTTACATCCACACACAGAAGAATGTTCTGATTGAAGTGAACCCCCAGACTCGGATTCCCAGAACCTTTGACCGCTTTTGTGGCCTCATGGGTGAGAAGCCTTAGTTCAGCACAAACTTGGCAATCGTGAAGAAGGGAGGAAAAGCAAAGGGAGAATTAAAGGTCGAACTTTTAAGCGAGGGGAGGGAGGAACAACATGATTGACAGCAGGACAAGACTCTTTCTCCATTCTTTTCCCATGTGCATGGAAGTACCACTCTCCTGTTGTGGCAGTGGGTTCCTGGCTGAGTGTAAAAGGGCGAGTCTGAACCCTTCACTGTACTATTAGTCATATGCTTGATGACTGTGTCCGTAACATATCAGGAGTCCACTCTGGATATAACAGACATGTGGAATCCATCTTACCTGTGGGTTTTCCTGGTTAGATTACTGGGCTGAAGGAGTGTGGCCTTCACTTAGCTCTGAACTTTTTTTCCCCCTCCTAGTTCAGCTTTTACACAAACTCAGTGTTCGAGCAGCTGATGGGCCCCAGAAGCTCTTGAAGGTGAGGTATTGAAACCTGCTGGTTGAAGGTAGGGTTCTGGGGGTGTTTCTGGGGCTGATTTCTCTCTCTCTTTTTTTTATTTAGGTAATTAAGAATCCAGTGTCAGATCACTTCCCAGTTGGATGTATGAAAATTGGCACTTCCTTCTCCATCCCAGTCATCAGCGATGTGCGAGAGCTGGTGCCCAGCAGTGATCCTATTGTTTTCGTGGTGGGGGCCTTTGCCCATGGCAAGGTAAGGCTTGGGCTTAGCCCTTCCGTTCTTCATAGAGCTGAATTCTAGTGCAGCATTCCCAGGGCTGTTGTTAGCATCCTGTCCTCACAAGTTGGGAAACCGAGGGTATGGACAGAGCTAGAAGACAAATGCCGGTTTCACACCCTGCCCCAGGGCACATCTTTGAGGACTGCTGCCATATTTGTAATAGTCACAGCTAGGACTTTCTTCATCCTTTGAAGAAACTTGATATTAAATAGCACAGTTGAAATATCAGCTCAGCCATAGTTGTCCTACCCTAAAGAAGGGTTGAACCTGCTACAGAGTGATAGTGTCGGCTAACAGAACTCTTCTCTCCTTAGGTCAGTGTGGAGTATACAGAAAAGATGGTGTCCATCAGCAACTACCCGCTTTCTGCTGCCCTTACCTGTGCAAAACTGACCACAGCCTTTGAAGAAGTGTGGGGGGTCATTTGACAGCGGGAGAACCCTATTCTGAAACCAAAGACCGTTGACATGGCGTCCCTTGGCCCTATTCTGAGCTGACCGCTGGAAGATGAGCTTCCTGAACTGAGACTGGAGGCTGGGGAAGCCAAGGCTGTCCATTTGCTGTTTGTGTCCCTATAAATACCATTCTTACAAACCGGGTTGTTTTGGGGTTCCTAAACTTGGCAGTATCCAATGGTGTGAACTGCTTGTTCCCCTTAGATTTCAGGGTTTGATGTGAGGTTACAGAGTTAGCAGTTTGATTTTAGGCTTTGAAGGCAGGCTTTAGCTCCAGATTTCCTAGGTTCCTGTGCTCTAAAGAAGAGACCCCTGGTTGTTTCAGCCATAGCACGTGCGGAGAAGAACTGTGTCAAAAGAAAGCAGTCAGGAATGCTAGCGGTGAAAAACTGAACAACAGAAGTGATTTTATCTGGTACAGTTCCAAGGTAGAAAAAGTGGAGCAGGCGGGGCCTTGCACCCGATCCCTCCCCCCCATGGGGGGGGTGGCGGTAGCGGCACATATACAATCATAGTAAATTGGCAGAAGAAAAACACAACAGATTCCTGGCTGGAGGGGGAGAGATAAGGCAACGTGCATGGGGGAGCCCGGGAGACGTGGGCCCCTCTGCTCCTCCCACAAGAGTTTTCCCCTTTGGCCCCGAATGAAGACTTGGCTGGCAGCAGAGGCACAGCTGGGAGTGCTGTGTCTTCCAACTCCCTGGCCTTTCTGTGCTCTGTGCTCTGGGGCGAAGGAGTGCTGTGAAAAGGGAGACAAGTAGTTTCTGCACCAGTCCTGCTGTAGGCCACCTGCAAGATAAGACATCTGGTTGGAAGGCTGGTCAGTTACTCCTAGTCCCTGGTCTGTGGCCCTTCCAGCTTTTTCCTAGCGTGCCTCAGTCAGTCTGAGTCGCCAGCGCCCAGGCTGTGTTCCTGAGTAGGCAGGCTACCTTGACATTCACCCCGTTTCCAATACTACCTTCCCCCCGAGTCTGTTGCTCTATTTTCTAACCTGGTAGTTTTAGCTTAGCTGTGGGACATTTACTTACCAGGGAAATAGATTATTCTGTTTTCTTTAACTTCTCTTTCCTTGGCACCATTGCTTTGTGAATATAAGGCAGTATGAATAGAAGGCTCAAGAAGACGACGTGGCCAAGAAAATAGATGGATTTATACACCTGTGCGGGGAGAGGGAGGCCACTGAGGTAGACGTAAAGCACCGAGAATCCCTTGCTCCTCAAGGGTGCAGTAGTTCTCTCCCGGCCTCGCAAGCAGGCCTTCACTCACCTTAAGCCATTTGTCCCACGTGAAGAGGCAGAAGGCAGTCATCGAGTAACCCATAAAGAGCCAGTGGATGGTCTGTTGCACCAAATAGAAGAAAGGTTGTAGGACCCTAATGGAGGCCAGGTTGCTCAGGGCTGGGCTCTCTCGTATTAGCCTGGCAGCCTGGGGAGGAAGGAGAGAGGTCACCAGTGTCTTGTCTCTCATTACCCTTTCACCCACACCCTTGAGGCCTACCTGTCTTTCCACAATCACAATGAGGAATTCCATCTGGAAGCAGACCAGGTATCCTGAGTGCAGGCCATGCCAGAGGGCCAGGAATAGCAATGAGAGACCCTGGGATAGTTCTTTATTTCCAAGGAACTTGAGACGTTTGTAGAGGTAACTAGAGAAAAGGGTGAGTAAGGATGAGCCTCCAGTGGACTAGTGCTTGGTGCCCACCATGCCACCATCTTGCGTGTGGTTTTCATGACCTGAGGAATGGATGGTAGCTGGCTTCTACTTGTAGCCCCCAGCGGCATGGAAGGCAGCACTAATTGATTAGTTTTAGAGATGGAAGGCAGTCTTGGTTTAGAAACAGAAAACAGACCCAAGGTGTAGCTGTAGCTGGTGACCGTGGCCAAGCCACTTGGTTCAGCAGGTAATGACCAAGTGCCTACTAAGTGCCCGACACTGAAGGTCAGTGGTGAACCGGGCAGACTGTTTCCTACTTGTGCTGTTCACGCTCTAAAGGTGGGCACAAGTGAGTAAACCAAGATGTTTATAAACAGGGCAATGGAGGACATAAAACCAGGGGCAAAACTGGGATTAACACCCAAGACTCAAAGCACTTTTTTTATTTTTTTGAGATGGGTTTCCCCATGTTGCCTAGGGCTGGCCTCGAATTCCTAGGCTCACACCATCCTCCCACCTCAGCCTCCGGAGTAGCTGGGACTCCAGGGGTGTGCATCCATGCCCAGCATCAAGGCGCTTTTATATTTTGCTTTTGTTTTCCTAATACGACAGGAACAGTTTTTTGGGGTAGGGGTGGGGACAAAACTCTGTATGTGAGAGCGACTGCAGGTTCTACCCATGTGGGAAAGACTGATGGAGGTGACACGATACATCCCGGCCCCCCTCATCTGGGAAAGCAGTGGAAGGTCCAGGGTCCAGGCCTCCCCTCCAGCGGCTTACCGGGACACCCAGGCATTGGTGTTGATGTTGAAAGAGGCGATGGTGCCAGTGAAGCGGGGGGTTGTTTCAAAGAGCCACACCTTCATGTTGGCGCAGGCGTCCCACTTTGCCTTGCCCCCTTCAAAGCCATTGAAGCCCAGCCCTGTCAAAATGCACACTCCTTCCTGACGGAGAGAACGGCTCATTAGGGTTCCCGCCACCCTCCCCCCACCACGGGCAAGGGCGGTGTGTCTCAACAGGACTCTGTTTCATCTCTTCTACTTACTGTAACCAGCCAACAGGTGACATATTTGTACAGCACAAACTTGCCCCAGACCAGCACGTACATGCAGCGGAACCAGAAAGCGTGGTTCTTGAAAGAAAGAGCACACGTGCGTCAGGGATGTCGCACAGGCAAGGCAGCTTCCCGCGGCACTCTCCCTTTTCACATGTGTGGCTGGCTACTTCGCACCTCTAAGTCCTGCTGCCAGATGTTCCCTGACAATCTGGCCTGACTGCCTTCGCAGAGGCTGGGGGGAATAAGCAGGGGGCCCAGTGAACACCCGTTCACCGCCTTTTCCTGGGAGACCCTGGGACAGCACTGTCCTTAACTCTTCCATCCCTGGCCTTCATTCCCAAAGCACTGAGCATTTGAAACGCTACGCAGAGGGCCTTGACATACCCACGTGTGACGTTAATTTAAGCAGAGGAACCTACCCGGGATGGTTACGGAACTGTTTCCAGCCTTTCAGCTGGGCAGGAGCAAAGGCCAGCACTTCCCCTTCCCCTGGTTTCTGAATTCCCTAGAAGCCCCCAAATCTACCAGTCGGGAGAAGAAAACGAGCTGGAGAATGGGAAGCTGCTGTGCTCCGCGGACCATCTGGATGTAATAAAGCGAGCTAAGAGCTGCTCCTGGGGAAGGTAAGGGGTGCTAACAGTGCACCTGGCACAGCCCTGTGCCCACGAAGGTCGTTCAGTGCTGGCTGACGAGCGTGGCCCGGCCCGGCTGGCATTGACACCAACTCTCACAGATCTAGAGCAAAACCAACACGCATTTGTAGACGGCATTACCTACTTCTCTGCTATCTACAGGGATCCTTGCCTGTGCGCGTTCTAGCTCTGGTGCAGTCAGACTGCTGCTGCTTTAGTGACCACTCACTTCATAGTCTTCAGTGAGGAGATAGTCTTCTGTGATGTGGGGGCTGAGCAGAGTGTAGACCACCAGGTAGACAAGGCCCAGACTCAGGCGCTTGAGAGCGGGTAGGGTGCTGGAAAGGAACAAGTGGGGTCACAGAGGGCAGAGTCCATTCCCGTCACCCTCTGACCTTCAGCTACGGAGAGGAGTGTTTCAGGGTGTGGTTGTCCACCTGGAATGGGATGAGGAGCTCTGCTGCCCAAAGTCTACACTGTGTCAGGGGAAGACTTCTCCACGTCTATGCGGAATGGGGCCTGCCAGCCTCTGAGAGCCGTGGGGAGGTCGGGGCAGCAAGGGAGCGTGTGGGTGAGTCTCGTGTTTACCCCACAGGGCTGCTGCTGATCTTGAGGTGTCACCAGGTTCTCAGTCTCCATTGGGACTGAAAACCCACCGGAGATAAGATAATAATAACTAATGTGAATCTGTTTCTTGCTATCTTGGTTGAATTGATGTCGAGACACAGCTGGACAAGTTCACAATGAAGGAATTCTTTTGGCAACTTTTAAGTTTTCTGCTGATATATATTTAACAAAAAAAAATTTTTTAAGTGAGAAAAAGGGCTTTAAAGGCAGGGATGTGACTGTTTCGGGCACAAAAGTGCATTTTTATGTTTGTGCTACAGGGTCCGCACGGCTGGCTGGAAGTAAACCAAGCTGCGCAGGGCCCACTCCCAGCGGCGAGCAAGTAGAGTGCCCGTCACAACAGCCCAGGGCCCGTGTGACAGAGGTCTCTGTGCCAGGACCATGCTGGAGAATGCAGCCAGGGCTGGCCTTCAGGAAAGTCACTTCAGCGTGACTACTGGGTGAGACACCTACACGGAGGTCTTGACCAAGAGGGGCAATTACCTGTTTGGTATTTTTCCTGGTATGTCAGTCAGCTGTCCCTGCACCAGCTTCATGTAGTGGTTCATTGAGAACTGGGGCCCTACCAAGAAGGCTCCATAGAAGTAGGAGAAGCCAGCAACTTCCAGCAGGGAAGGGACACCCCGTATGGCATATTTCTGTTGCTCAGAGGACAAGGAATTCTATGCCGAGAAGAGAATGAATGGTTCAGGATGGCCTCGAATCTCCCCCCAGGAGCCAGTTTGCGTGTTCCCCACCCTTGTGCCCCACTGACTGGGGTTCTTAAAATAGCCTTTTCTTTGGGGGATGAAAAATAGTTGTTTCTTGTGGAAATGAGTCTGTGTGGGGGTAGCTTAGTAATAGCTGGCTGTACTGCTTTAGCAAATGCCTCGCTGGCATTGATCTCTGGACTTTGTGCAAGAGCCGGATCCTGGGCTAATTAGGTTTGTTGATCCTTGCTCAGCGCTGTCTGAAATGGAGATCGCACAGGCTGGGGGACGAGGCTCTGCCCTGATACTTGGGTCCAGCCTTTTGGTAACAACAGCCTTTTCCTTCCCTCTGGTTAAATCCTTAAGCTCTCTGCAGAGGAATGGGTACTTACCTGAACTTTCCCTCCGTCAAAGTAGTCAACAGCCAAACCTGAGCAGAGAGAGAAGGGGTGGGTAGAGTGGAGGGAGCGGACATG